GGAAAGGGCTCAAGTGAAAAGCCCTCGGAATCTTTGTTTACGGTAGCCCTCCCAGATCCCGTTTCCTCTGTAAAAGCCACTTCCTTCCCTTGCCCTGGGGGACCCGCACATGGTCCTTAGCTATAGATCCAGAATTCCAATTCTCTGCTGAGCCCAATTTTTTTTTTTTTTTTTTTTTTGGCCATGCCAAGTGGCTTGCGGGGATGTTAGTGCCCTGACCAGGGGTCAAACCTGGTCCCTCTGCAGTGGAAGCACAGAGTCCTAACCACTGGGCCACCAGGGGAGATTAAACATATTTATATATAACTCGTATCTGGACACACCTTTCCTCCAGCTACGAAATACAAAAAAGGAATCTGTTCGGGACTAAAAACAACTGCATGCAGATGGAGAGAATGGACTTGTAGACACAGGGGAAGGAGGAACTGAGAGAGTGGCTGTGACGCATACACTGTCAAGTGTAAAATGTAAAGAGGGCTTCCTCGGTGGTTCAGTGGTAAGGGACCCGCCTGCCACTGCAGGAGACGGAGGAGACAAGGGTTTGATTCCCAGATGGGGAAAATTCCCTGGAGTAGGAAATGGCAACCCACTCCAGTATTCTCGCCTGGGAAATTTCACGGACAGAAGAGCCGGGCAGGCTACAGTCCATGCGGTCACGAATCAGACACTCCTGAGCGACTAAGCACGTGTGTAAAATAGATGCCCAGTGATAAGTTACTATATAACACAGGAGCCCAGGCTGGTGCCCTGTGATTACCTAGAGGGTTGAGACAGGGGAAGGGGAGGGAGGCTCAAAACGGAGAGAATGTATACATATAATTATGACTGATTCACATTGTTATATGGCAGAAACTAGCACAACATTGTAAAGCAATTTTCCTCCGATTAAAAAATAAATTAAAAAAATAAAAATAATTGTGTGTGTACACAGTTGGGGCAAGTTCTGTTCCCAGACAACACAAACAGACCAAAAAAACCAAGTGCCACTTTTAAAGACCGGATGTTGAGAACAAAAGCAGGGTACGGTGCACACGCCCTGCACACACAACCACCCAAGGGGTGGGCAAACCATCTAAGCCACCACCCCTCTGGCCCAACCCCTGGACACACCCCTGCCCTGACCCCATATAAGGAACAAGCGTGCCCCTCCTCAGGGATCAAGCAAGCAAGAGTTCCTTCTGGCCCCCAGTAAAGCCTTGCCTGAATTTCTTATCTGGCTTCTGATCAATTTTTATTGATTAAAGAGGCCAGGAACCCTGAGCAGTAACTGTTACTTGTGCTATACAGTAGCTCAAATAAAACCAGTTTTACTGTTGAAATAGCTGGCCATCTGTTTGTTTCAGGTCCACACAAGAAAGCATGACTGTTAAACCGGAAAAATGCAGTCAGCAGAAACTACCTTGTGGGCGTGGTCAGATGCTGGATTTAACAAACACCTAAAAGGAGTCCTGAAGATGACACTTTCAATTTTTTTTTTCCAAAATTCAAATTCAGAGGCCGTCGCAGCAGGACTAGAACCGGAAAATGTCTGCTCCACTGTTCCACTGCTAATGACACAGGCCCTGGTGGCCTCCGTGGGACAGTTTCAGTGGGGAGGTAGGTAAAGAAACCAGCTTCAGAGAGAATTGGTAACAGTGTGGATGTCCCAACAAGAACGAGGATGAAAAGGAAAGGGTAGTTAAGAGTGTCAGCTCAAGAGGTTTTGTTTGACTTTGTTTTGCTTTTTAGGATGAGCTCTTTGGGATATATTCATAGCCCAGGGGAGCTTCCTAGGTGGCGACAGTGGTAAAGAATCCACCTGCCAATGCAGAAAACACAAGAGACAAGGGTTCAATCCCTGGGTTGGGAAGATCCCCAGGAGTAGGAAATGGCAACCCACTCCAGTATTCTTGCCTGGAAAATCCCACGGACAGAGCAGGCTAGAGCAGCCTGAAGGCTACAGTCCATGGGGTCACAAAAGAGACGGACACAGCTGAGCACACACGCATAGGCCAGGACAAGGACCCTGTAGGTCGGGAAGGGACGGCTGCCAGAGGGCGACCCAAAGATTTGGGAGCACACAGCAGAGAGGCCGGCTTTTACAGGGGGAGAGCTTGGGCGGGTGCAGGTGAAGAGGCGTGGACTAACACATTAGGTGCCCTCACCGGATGAATCACATTTCTGCACACATTAGCAGATGCGCTAACTGCCTTTTGTCCCAGACTCTCTTTCCAAGAATGTTGGTATACAGCAAACTGTCTTGGAAGATAAAGATAATACCCCCATTTGGAGCAGAGGACAAATTTTCTTACTTCCAAGCTAAGTGTTTTTTTTTTTTCCTCTCTTTAAAAAAAGTCTTTTGAAAAGAAAAAAAAAAAGTCTTTTGGCAGTGCCCTGTAACAAGATCTTCATTTCCTGACCAGAGATTGAACTCGCATCCCCTGCACTGGAAGATCGAACTCTTAACCTCTTCACCACCAGGGCAGTCCCTCCAATATAATTTTTAATGCCTGCCTCGAGGGAAATGGCAGGTTTGCTTGCAGCCCATTGTAAAAGATTCTGGTTTCCCTTGTTCAAGGTTCCTCATCAGTGGGGCAAACCCACTGTATGTGCAGCAAACCCGCTGTGTGGCCCCTTTTGGGTCCCTCTGCCTCACCTTCTTGGGGTCTGAGGAGCAAGGGGGCACCACCATGAAGTTCATGTTGCTCACTGTGCCACCAGTGATCAAGTCATTCATCTCTGACCCCAGAGTCTCATGTCTTCTGCCAGCATCCATAAAACTGTAGCAGGCTGATCTGTCAGCCTGATCACAGGGTAAACCTCAGACCCATCACATTCTGGCCAGGAGGTGCCTTTGTAATTAGGGGCCTGGGAAATTGAAGCTCCCCTCTTGGAGGTATGGCAGGGAGAAAGGAGGCTTGAGGTGACATCCTGGAATCCCTGTTGGGCAGGATGGAAGCTGGAGCTAACCAAGGACGGGGAAATGGCTGGTGTGGTGAGCCCAGCTGATGCCCAGTGGGTACCATTCTACTCTGGAATGAAACAGTCTCCAGCCAGCAGCTCCCAGCCAGGCCAGGGAGCGGGCAGCGTAGGGGAGGGGACACTGCACAGGCCGATCAGAGTGTGAATCCAGGTCGGAGCTCTGCTGGGCAGAAAGCCAGGAACACAGGAGAATCTGGGTTACGATGAAAGTAGCTCTCAGATTATGACCCCCAGGGGCCTGGCTGGAAAGGAAAGAAAGCTTCAGGGAGAGAACTGACGTGCCGGGAGACAGTGGAGGGGCGAGGACACGGGAGGCTGCAGACAGGAAAGAGAACCCCACGTGGTAGATAGGAAGCTCTGGTCTTAGTGGAGTATTACCTTTTAAAAATATATGTATTAAAAAAAAATTAAAAATATATATGTATATATTTATTTATTTGGCTGTGCAGGATCTTAGTGGCAGTATGAGGAATCTTTTTAGTTGTGGCACTGGGGACCTTTAGCTGTGGTATGTGGGATCTAGTTCCCTGACCAGGGATCAAACCTGGGCCCCCTACATTGGAAGCTCAGGGTCTTAGCCCCTGGACCACCAGGGAAGTCCTGAGGTACTTGCCTTTTAGTCACTGGAGGTGGACCCAAATCCTTAACACAGATATGCTTGTGTGCATGTTAAGTCACTTCGGTGGTGTCTGACTCTTCACGACCCTATGGACTGTAGCTTTCCAGGCTCCTCTGTCCATGGGATTCTCCTGGCAAAAGTACTGGAGTGGGTTGTCATGCCCTCCTCCAGGGGATCTTCCCCACTGGGGGATCAAACCCCAATATCCTGCGTTGCAGGAGAATTCTTTACCATCTGAGCCACAAGGGGCTGGGGGTAGGTTTGGGACTTAGGGACTTAGAGAGAGGTCTGATGTTTTATCAACCCCTGAGGAAATGGGAGAAGGTGCTGATCAAGGGATAAGTAACAGAGACAGGGATTTGGGGGTTGGAAAACCATAAATATTAAAAGACTTGAAATCATCAGTTTAAGTCGGTCCGACAGGAGGGTAGCCAGGGGCGGCATTTTTTAAATAGTGTGAACTGAACCTGAAGGACCTGCTCTGCCCTAGAGCAGAGGCTCCAGCAAGTTTTCCCGAAAGCCTTGCAATTAGACAGATACCTGCTGCTGCACCCAGGCTTGTCCTTCAAATGAGGATCGGGGCCCGGTTGGGGGTAGGTGGGTTGCAGGTGCCTGTCATCCGTGCATTTGCCGACAGTTCAGGGTCTAGGGTATTTCACAGGTTTCTGGGGCCAGGATGATGTCCACCAGAGAACACAGTTTCTCATCTACTGCTCACCCCTGGAAAGGCTCTGCTTCCAGGGCACGGGTGCCTGGACTTCCCCGGGCCTTCCTGGTGACACCTGAGCCTCTGCCACACCTTTCAGGTGTCTCTGGGTTGCTGAGATCTCCAGGTTGCCCCGGGTTTGTAACAGGGACACATTATGACTGAAGGCTCTGGCCAGTCACCAAATGAGGGAGACGGACAACCTCAGTTCTCCCGCCCTTCCCATCCCGGACAGGCCCCCTGCCTCACCCCCTCCAACTCCACCCGGGGTCTGAGCGGTCGGGGTTTAACCCTCCATGCTCCCCGCCCCTTCCCACGGGCCTCGGGTGCCAGGAAGCCGTGAGCCCGGGTAAGGGGTCGGGGGCGGGGTGGGCGAGGGCGCAGTGCGCGGCCCAGGCGGCAGGTGGCGGCGTCTCCCTGCGCCCCGCGGCCCCACGGAGCCCCCGGACCGCGCGCGCGCCCGCCCTTGACCGTACTGGGAAGCGCCCTGCCCAACACCGGCGTCTCTGGGCTGGGCCGTCCAAGAGCAGAGGACTGAGAGAAGCGCCTGAAAGGCGCGGGCAGCTCCGGGTGCCGGCGCGACACTCTCGCTCCGGGACCCGCCGCACAGCCCCCAGGGGTGCGGCGGCGTCCGGAGCCCGGGAGCCAGCAGAGGGGGAGAGGCGGGGCGGGAAGCGCGGCGGGGCCGGGCGGGGCCGGACGGCCGACTCCGGGAGTCCAGCCCGGCGCACCCGGGCCTCTCCTCTCTGCCCGGGTCGGCTGCCGACGGGACGCCCTCGGGCCGAGGCTGCATGGGGCTCCCGCGTGGCCGGGTCTTCTGGCCGCTGCTCCTGCTCGCGGCTGTCAGCTCAGGGATCCTGGTCGCCCTGTACTCCTCGGCGGTGGAGTTGCACCTGGGGCCCCGCACTGGAGCCAGGTAGGAGCTGCCGCGCGGGACCTGTCCGGAGGGCGCAGGGGACGCGCCGGGCGCCCACCCCGGGGCCGGGCCGCCCTCTGGGGAGGCTTGCCGCGGGGACTTGGGCTGCGGCCCTTTGTACCCAGAGCCTCCACCCCGGCGTTAAACTCGTGCTACCAGGGGTCCCACAGCTGCTGCTGTATCCAAGAGGAGCTTCGCCCCTTGCGCACCGGAGATCCACTCCCGACAGCTTTCTGTTGACTTCCCTCCGGCCCTGATTAGAAACACTTTCATTTGTCCAACTTTGGCTGGGACATCGGAATCAGATAAAATCAGTCCCGGATTTCCTAGAAGTGTCCCTCGCTAACGTCACATTTCTCAGATTCTACTCTGGGGGCAGGGACCCAAGTCTCCCAGGTCCAGCGTTGCGCGCGGCTCCTCAGCCAGGCGGCGGCAGGTCGTGCCTCTCCGGCTCGCTGTGGTCCCCGCCCTCCCCGCGTCCGGCTGGCTTCTCTCCTCCTGCTCTGTTTCGTTGTTTATTTTGATAAGCCCCGTCTGGGCGCGATCCGGTGAAGAGGTGGACAGGGGCCCACCTTGGGCTCCATCCAAGTTTCCCTCCCTGAGCTGCTCCTGCTGCGCTCCGCTCCCCCTCGCTGACCCTGGGCACCTTCCTTTCATTTGTGCCCCAGGAGGAGAAACCTGAGAGCCTGCCTTTGGTAGGTCAGGGTTCCAGTTACTGAAGAAACCGTAAAAGGGATTTAGCTTTACTTCTGGAAGGTGGACCGAGCTGTGCCCAGCATGTGGATTTGTGAGGCCCCATAGGTACCTACAGCCTGGTGCAGAGGCCTCTGGGCCCTGGCTTTCCCTTCCCAGTGCTTTGCCAGACACACAGTCCTCACTAAAGGGAATGAAGTCAGAATTAGTGTCAGCTCTCAGGAATGGGGCTCTGCAGGTGGCTCGGTGGTAAAGAATCTGCCTGCCAAGCAGGAGACCCAAGTTCAATCCCTGGGTCAGGAAGATACCCTGGAGAAGGAAATGACAACCCACTCCAGTATCCTTGCCTGGGAAATCCTATGGACAGAGGAGCCTGGCAGGCTATAGTCCATGGAGTCACAAAAGAGTCAGACACTCAGACAGGACTTAGCAACTAAAACACAAAACCAAAAACACTCAGGAAACAAAGTCAAGGGCACCCAGTGTCGCAAAACAATATGAAACGCGCTTGCCATTGATTATGCGTCCCCTCCGTTTAGAACCAAAGGTGCTCTAGCTGGCAACACCTGAAGTTAACTTTGCCTCCTTGGAGTCAGGCATTGCATAAGGAGAAGGACTGAAAAGGACTGAAGGTATTAAGGAGATCCGTATCCGTTTTCTGTAAAGATTTTTTGAAACACATTTATTTGAACATCCTTCAAAAGTAACTAATATACCACTATAAATATGAGGTTGACTGAACATCCATTATACCTCAACAAAGCTTTTTTAAAAGACCTTTCATGTTTTAAAAATCTAATACAACCTGACCGTATCCTTGATGTTTTGGTGATGTTTGCATTTTAGCTAAACCCCAGGGGCCAGGTCCAGACTCAGCCTCATTAGGAGCTGGACAAGCAGAGGGGCAGGTGGGATGGAAATCTGAGCAGGGCGAGCAGGCTGTGTGACCCACTCACCTGGGGATCAGTGGGGAATCCAGAGGAAGCCGCTGTGCTGGGACCAGGCCCGGCACACTGGAGATGGGAGGTGAGGCTCTCCTTGCTGGTTAGTGGGTGGAATCGGTCCAATCAGTAGTTCCCGGGCTTGGGATTTCTAGACTTGTTTTAGAGTGGGTTGCCATTTCCTCCTCCAGGGGATCTTCCTGACCAAACCCATTGTCTCCTGCATTGCAGGCAGATTCTTTACCACTGAGCCATTGGAGAAGCCTTATTCCCAGGGTGGTGTCTAAAAGCCTTTGGATTCTGGGGGAGGGTGTCGGGGGAGTCTCTTGAGCAGAAGGGGTGCTCTGGAGAGGAGCTGGCCTTCCTGAGACCCAAGCGATTCAGGGCTCCCTCCTGTTTCTATTCCGCCCATTCAGCAGTTCCTCTGTCAGGTTCCAAGCCTGGCTGCACATTAGAATCACTGGGGAGAAAGGGATGACAGTGGGGGAAGGGGGGTTGAATCACTGGAGACCCAGAACCATCCCATCAGAATTCTGGTGTTTTTCAAAAGTTCCCCGGGGGTTCCTGAAGGCCACCTGGGCTGAACACCAAGGTCCCAGTTCCTCCTCCGAGAGGAGCTACAGGGTTTCGTGGTCGGCCGATTTGGGTTGAGGAGGAAAGGGGATCGCTCTGCTTTTTCTGGCCTGCTCTTCCAAAGTCTTTCACAACCTTGAACGCAGGTGGGGTCCAGGCGCCCTTGCGGCTCAAACGGTCTTGGTGCCTAGAAGCAAGTCACTGGAAGCCTTTGTTTCCTTCGAGACTGCTGGTCTCAGATCCTCCCCACCTGCTCCCTCGGGGTTGTAGGGGAGGCGGGAGGAGTAGCCTGACCACCCATTGAATGGATCGGGGCTCCTGTTCCTTCCTGTTTGCCCTCAGCCCAGCTGGCTCAGTGGTAAAGAATGTTACTGCTGATGCAGGAGCTGCGGGTTTAATTCCTGGGCCAGGAAGAGCCCCTGGAGGAGGAAATGGCAACCCACTCCAGTATTCTTGCCTGGAAAGTCCCATTGACAGAGGAGCCTGACCTGCTACATACAGTCCATAGGGTCGCAAAGAGTCAGACACAACTAAGCGTGCGTGTGCACACACACACACACACACACACACACACACACACACTCTGGTGCAGGAACCACCTAGCACCTGGAAGGTGGGGGTGGGGCAGTAACCTAGACCCTTCCCTCCCTCCAGAAGGGTCAGTGTCGTTGCGGCTGTCACAGGGTCCCTTCCCTTTGCCCTTTAGGTAACAATAGCTAATATTTAGAACACATTTCTTACAGAAGATAACAGAGACTCTGTTTGAAGGCTCCCAACAACAATGCAGGCAGGGCTTTACTGGGGCCCTTGCCGCAGCAATAGGAAGCAAAACCAGTACCAGGTTCTCTTGCTTGCTCCCTGGGGTTTGCGGGGGAGGGCTCGGTGAGTTGGTTCCTTCTACAGGGTGACAGTAGGGATGGGCCCGCGGGGTCGGGCCAGAGAGGTGGCTTAGGTGGCCCACCCTAGTGGTGCCATGTGCAGGGCACATGTGCATACCTGCTTCTGCTCAGATTTTGGTCTTTCTGTATCTCTGTTCATAATTTGCCCCTACTGCCACATGCACTCAGCTACTGTGAGTCCCTTGTAGTTTATTTTGCATTTTGTTGCTCGAGGAGATGTTTCTCCAAGTGCAAGCACTGCAGCAAAGGGTCCCAGGCCCTAGCCTGTCTCAATCTGACCATCTTCATACCTGCATGATCATCCCTGCTGAACAGACACAGACACTGAGCTTCTAAGAAGTTCAGTGGCTTCCAGAGATCCTGGAACCCAAACCCACGGAGTCGGGCTTTGGCCCCACCCCTTTCGCCAGGTGAAGGGGGCCCAGGGCACCTGGGATCTAACACCTGTTTCTGGGGCCTTAATAGGGAGACCGCTCAGATGGTCATGAGCCCAGGGCACTGGCAATCTTTCCTATTTTATATTTTCCTCTCTTAACCACCATCTCACTGTTCCCATACATTCCACATTTCAGCCACTTGCCAAGGGGCTAGGCAGAACAGGTGATAATTATTTGTGCCCAAAGAGAGAGAGATGAGCAAGAATCAGGGCATAGGGGAAAAAATAAAAAATCAGACCCTGATGGACAGTCAGCCTCCAGAGTTACTGGAGGAGCATGCTCCACGGGCAGGTCAGACCCCGGCTTTACTTCCACCTTCCCCCCCAGGAACACCACGTCATCGTCTCAAGCTTTCTTCGGACCCAAGGCATCGAATTCTAGGACGAGAAAGGTACAGTGGCGGGCTACCCTGTGGCAGGGTAGGAGGGGAAAGAAAAATGGGAATGAGAACATTCTTGTGAGCCGGCTGGACGGGAGCCCTCTGGAAACCCCTCCTCTTCTCCCCCCACCCCACTACATCCCCCTCCCCACCCAGAGAATGGAGCGCAGAACTGAGGGGCCAGCCAGTCAGCACTCTTCAGACCTGACCACTGAGGTCCCTGCACCCCAAAAGCAGAGAAACATGACTCCATCTTTACTCCTTGGGGTATAGCCAGCAGAAAAGTTCTTGCAAATCTTGATTTATCTTTAAAAGTTCTCTTTTACATTCTACTCCTCAAAGTGTCTTTTTATTGTAAAACTCACATTTAAACTGTTTGCGTGCGTGCATACTAAGTCGCTTCAGTCATATCTGATTCTTTGCAACCCTATAGACTGTAGCCCTCTGTCCATGGGATTCTCCAGGCAAGAATACTGGAATGGGTTGCCATGCCCTCCTCTAGGGATCTTCCAGACCCAGGGATCAAACCTGCATCTCTTACATCCCCTGCATTGGCAGGAGGGCTCTTTACCACTAGCACCACCTGAGAAGCCCTTTAAACTGTTTGCCAGGAAGTAAACGCCAAGCCCAGGGAGCTCCCCCACTCTAACAGAGCACACTGACAGTGGCCCAACAGGCCATCTCAAGCATCTTACCTGCGTTCTCTCACTTAGACCTGTCGGCACAGCTGGGAGGCAGCTTTTACAGTAAAATGAGGCACAGAGATAGCCTGCTCAGGTTACCCGTGGGGAAGAGATGGACAGGGATTCAAGCCTCTCGTCGGACCCCGGGGCTGGCTCTGAACTCCCGAGCAAGGCGCCCTCACCCTCTCTGTGGGCTACAGTCGAGTGGGATGATGACTGTGTAGTTCTAGCCTGATCCCGGTTTAAGAGTTGTTTTTCATGCCCAAGACACTGGAACTTGTTAACTGAGGTCTCATGGGGGCCAGATCTCACCACACGCAAGACTGAGTGATGGCAGAGCTGTCAGCGGCCGAGCGAGCTGCCCCCCAGCAGGCGATGGAGACCCCAGCCTCACCGCCCCAGGAACAGAGGTCAGGTGGACACCTGGCTGGCTGGCTGAAGAAAGGCCTCAAGCGTCTTAAAGCACTTGGCCAGGTCATCTTTACTTTTCCTGAAGTCCTTTTTACCTTGAGCTACTTGATGCTAATTGACATATTTCCTCACCTGGTTTAAAAACAAAAGGATTTGAGCTTTTGTCTTTTGGATATATATGACGTGGGGGAAAGAAAAAGAATAAAATGAAGAAGTAGGTAAAGGAAAAGTAAAGGTAACAACATTAGACAATGTCAGATGAGTGCATGGAAAATATGCCAGAGGGTGTCAGAGATGCACTCTGAGCTTCCCTGTGACGACAACAAAGAAGGAAAGCTTGCCACCCTGTCCATGAGATAAAAGCAAGCCAGCTGCCCAAGCCAAGTGCAGCCTTTCTGGATACGGAGACCTGAAGATTTTTCTCTTGGAGCCTTGTAAAGGCGGCCCTGGAAAACATCCCTACGCTGAAGAGTAGTGAAACTGATGCAGTCAGTTCAGCTTAATGCTTGCTTTTAAAGCATGAATTTGGTCCATAAAGATTGCTATGGGAGTAAAACAAGTTGAGCAGAACCCAAATTTCGTGTGTGTTTATCAGTGATTTTGTCAGCCAGAACACTGGTAAATGCAGAAAACCATACTCCACCAAAGGGAATCATGTAGGAATACCCAAAAGGCATGCACATGCACACTTCAGACAGCCATCTGCTTCATCACATGTTGTATAACTGGCTTCCCACCACTTCACGATAACTCCCAAACTGCCACCCTTCCGAAGCCCACATCCCCAAGCAAATGTCAGTTCTTTTCCAAGGTCAAGTGCCACATTTTGAGAACTACTTATATATTTCCTGGGCTTCCCTGGTGACTCAGGCGGTAAAGAATCTTGACTGCAATGCAGGAGACCTGGGCTCGATCCCTGGGTCGAGAAGATCCCTTGGAGAAGGGAATGGCTACCCACTCCAGTGTTCTTGCCAGGAGAATCTCATGGACAGAGGAGCCTGGCAGGTTGTAGTCCATGGGGTTGCAAAGAGTGGGACACAACGGAGCGACTAACATTTTCACTTTTCTAGATGTTTCTTAACCAGTGAATGGATGTAAAACTGCTTCTATCTTCATTTTATACATCACTGAAACAAAAGAAATGGAGTCTCTCACAGTTCTAGAGGCCAGAAGTCCAAAGTCAGGTGTCAGCAGGGCCAGCCGCCCTCTGAAGGCTCTAGGGAAGAATCTCTCCTGGCCTCTTCCAGCTTCTGGGGACTCCAGGTATCCCCCGGCTTGGAGCTGCATCACTTACTCTCTGCCCCCACCCCCCGCCATCAGCATGTGCCTTCTTTGTCTGATTTTATTTTTGTTTATTTTTGGCCGTGCGGCATCTTCATTGCTGCATGGGCCTTCCTCTAGTGGTGGAGAGCGGGGGCTACTCTCTAGCTTCGGTGCACGGGCTTCTCATTGCCATGGCTTCTTTTGAGGCAGAACACAGGCTCTAGGGCATACACACTTCAGCCGTTGCGGCCCATGGGCTCCATAATTGCGGCTGCCGGGCTCTAGAGCACAGGCTCAATAGTTGTGCAGCATAGACTTCATTGCTTCATGGCATGTGTGATCTTCCGGGATCAGGGATCGAACCCATGTCTCCTGCACTGCCAGGTGGATTCTTTACCCCTGAGCCACCATGGGAAGCCTAGCACATGCCTTCTTATAAGGATACCAGCCATTGAATTTGGGGCCCACCTTAGTACGTTATAAGTTACACTCCATCTATGTGTGTGGCTCAGTCACTTCAGCCGGGTCTGACTCTTTGCAACCCTATGGACTGTAGCCAACCAGGCGCCTCTGTCCATGGGATTCTCCAGGCTGGAGTGTGTTGCCTAGCCCTCCCCCAGGGGATCTTCCCAACACAAGGATTGAAGCGCGTCTCCTTCACCTTCTTACATTGCAGGCGGATCCTTTACCGCTGAGCCACCTTATGGTATAACCTGAACTTACCAATTACATCTGCAAAGACCCTCTTTCCAAATAAGGTCATGTTCTGAGGTTTGGGGCAGACATGAATTGGGAGAGGGGACACTATTCAACTCAAGATAGGCACGGGCTGGTCAAAGATATCACAAATCTTCCCAGCAGCCCTTTCCACGTGAACCCTACTGCAGCAAGGACGGCCAGGGCTAGGGTTTGGACCAGGCTGATGGATTCCAAGGCCTGGGGTGGACCTTCTCCAACACATGGCAGGCAGATCTTACCTGTTTGTGGGAAAGTGCCCTCAAGTTCCCCTCAAGTGTGAGGTGAAGTAGTAGGCCAGAGCCGTCAGGCCCGAGAGACGTGGTATCCAGGGAGAAGGGCTTGGCAGGGTAAATTCAGAAAGCTCTCTGACCCCCACCGGGCCGCTGCACTACAGGCCAGCTTGGCTGGCACATCTAGGGGGTGGCCCAAGTCTGGAGGGAGAAGGTCAGCGCTTCTCTCCCAGCCCTCTTGTGGGGTGTGCGGGCTCCCTGGAAGGCTCCCACCCACCCCACCTTCCAGAAACAGCCCTGGGGGACTTCCCTGGGGGTCCTTGGGCTTCCCTGGTGGGTTTGATCACTGGATCGGGGGAGATCCCACCTAGTAGTAGGAAATGGCAACCCACTCCAGTATTCTTGCCTGGAGAATCCCATGGACAGAGGAGCCTGGTGGGCTACAGTCTGTGGGGGTCATAAAGAGTCGGACACAACTGAGCGACTAACACTGTGGGTCCAGTGGTTAAGAATCTGCCACGCAGTGCAGGGCATGTGGGTTCCATCCCTGGCGGGGAAGGGGGATCCCACATACCTCAGAGCAGCTAGGGCCACGGTGCAACTGGAGGGCTCGCGTGCCACACCTAGAGAGGCCTGACCACGAAGATCCTACATGACGCAACTGAGACCCAAGGCAGCCAAATAAATAAGTAAAAAAAGAAAGTCCTCTTATCTTGTCACCCACAGAACCTGCTCTGTCAACACCCACTTTCTCTCGCCGTTCAGCGGGACCCTCGCTTCCGGAATCTGTTTAACCTCTCCACTCCAGTGCTGCTGTCGGGGGACGTCTTCACCCAGCAGCTCTGGGACAGCCTGAGCCAGCACAAAGCCCCCTATGGCTGGCAGGGGCTCTCCCACCAAGGTAACCTTCAGCCCTCTGGCCCCAACGAGTCCATTCCTCCTGCATCTGGGCCATGGTGCCCCTCTCTCCTCACTTCCTCCCAGCCAGGCTTCAAGGCTCTTGCCCTCCTGGGGCCTCCCTGGCATGAAAGATGGCCAGTGTCCAAAGGTGGCCGAGGATGGCAGTTGTGAGCCCTCAAACAGCCTGCTGATGGATGCTGCTGGAAGAGACCACCCAGAGCCCCCTCCACTTTAAGTCAGCCCCTCCACCCCATCCCCACAGGCCCCAAATTATTTCCTTTTGGAATAAGCAAAGTTTTGGGAGGACTGGTTATCTGAGTTCTCGAGATGACTGGGGCCACGGCCAACCCTCGTGCCCCACCACCCTCTTTGCAGGTGTCCGGCTCCCGCGGACGTTTCACTGTGCCTCTCGAGAGGGGGCTGGTGTCAGGCCTCAGGCAGGTGCGGGGAGCCAGGAAGAGTCTCGGGAAGGCCCCTGTGCCCCTCACGGTGCCCCACCTTGTCCCACAGCCATCGCCTCCACCCTCAGCCTCCTGAACAGCTCAGAGAGCGCCAGGCTCTTCGCCGCCCCCAGGGAGCTGCTTCCTGGCTGCATCCGGTGTGCTGTGGTGGGTAATGGAGGCATTCTGAATGGCTCCCGCCAGGGTCAGAACATAGATGCCCATGACTATGTGTTCAGGTATGTGGGCCAGGGGCCAGGGAGGAAGTAGGAGAGGAGCTGGGTGGAGAGCTGGTCCCCAGCCAGCCCCCTGGGGGGAGCATGGTGGGTGAGGGCGTGGGCTAATGGAGCAGCAGCAGCCTCAGGCAGTTCAGCAGTTGTGATGGGCGGACAGGCGTGGACAAGGGTGTTAGGCAGACAGACCCTGAAGATGTGCGAGGCTGTGGTCAACCCAGGGGACCCGGGAGGAAGGAGCTGCCAGGGCTGGCTTCGCCCATTTCACAGGGCATCCCATCAGGTGCCCGGTTGTCAGGATGGGGCTGGCAACCAGGCACCGGGGCTGCCGTGGGTAGAGGGAGTGGCAGAAGCCTGGGGATGGAAGTCAACATGCAGTACCGTGTAGCCACAAGCAGGCTGATGAGCCTCTGTCTGGACCAGACTCAATGGTGCGGTGATCAAAGGCTTCGAGAATGACGTGGGCACCAAGATCTCCTTCTACGGTTTCACCGTGAACACAATGAAGAACTCCCTCATCTCCTACTCGAACGTGGGCTTCACCTCTGTGCCGCAGGGACAGGTGAGGCCCCAGTGGGCACCATGGTCCCTGACAGTCGGCGCCGTTGTTTCCTGTCCGCCCCCCTATCCCACCATGGGGCGGGCCACGGGGCTCCCAAGCCCCAGCCCAGTGGATGGGCAGGTTGTGTGCCAGGATCTAGGGCCTGTGTGATGGGGTGCCCTGTGGCTCAGGACCAGGGCGCCATATGGCTCAGGAGCAGGAAAGCTCTGGAGTGGAGCATGAATGACTAATATTTACTGAAGGCTTATGGAGTGCTGGGAACTTTACAGAGGTCAGCCCCCTCTTGCTAGTAAGGGCACTAAGGCTCGGGGCCCCTTCGTTCAGCAGAGCAGCAGTAGAGCCGGACTCAAACCCAAAGTAACCCCCGACCCAGAGCTCAGCAGCACACAGCCAGCCAGAGGGTATTTACTGAGTGTCTCCTCCATGCCCACCCCAGACACTCACCACAGCAGCACCCGAGAACTGGAACCTGAGTCTGTCTGCCGCTTCCAGGCTCTTTCAACCACACCCAACTGCTCTAACACCATGCTTCCCCTTCTAGAGGGCTTCCCTGATAGCTCAGTTGGTAAAGAATCCACCTGTGATGCAGGAGACCCCACCTCAATTCCCAGGTCAGGAAGCTCCACTGGAGAAAGGAAAGGCTACCCACCCCAGTATTCTGGCCTGGAGAATTCAGAATTCCATGGACCATATAGTCTATGGGGTTGCAAAGAGGTGGACACAACTAAGCGACTTTTACTTTCTTTCCCCTTCTAGAGCAGGCTGGCTACCACATGCAGCGGGGAGGTCCTAGGATAAGGGTGCTGATAAGGGTGCTATGGTGCTCAATAGGGCTGGTTTGAGTTTCCAGAAGCTTCCTCCTCTGACCAGGGAAGTCAGGGGTGTCCTAGCCACAGCATCCGTGCTCCAAGGCCTCTTTTAGCTCATAATGAAACAAGATGGCACAGTTTCATTTCTGGTGTAGCCACAGAACCTATATGCGTGCGTGCTAAGTCGATTCAGTTGTGTCCAACTCTGTGCGACCCTATGGACTGTAGCCCTCCAGGCTCCTCTGTCCATGGGATTCTCCAGGCAAGAATACTAGAATGGGTTGCCATGCTGCCTCCAGGGGATCTTCCTGACCCAGAGATCAAACTCACGTCTTTCATGTCTCCTGCATTGGCAGGTGAATTCTTTACCAATAGTGCTACCTGGGAAGAACCTGTAGGAGTTCTCCATAGCTGCATGACAAATGACCCCCAAACCTCATAGCTGTAAACAACAAACACTGCTTACCTTGCAGTTTTCATGGGTCAGGAATTCGGGAGCCGCTCAGTAGAGTGATTTTGTCCACTTTTTTTTTAGCCTCCTCTGGCAGCATGGAAGTGCTAGTCGCTCAGTCGTGTGGTCCAACTCTCTGCGACCCCATGGAGTGTACACTGCCAGGCTCCTCTGTCCTTGGAATTCTCCAGGCAAGAATACTGCAGAGGGTAGCCTTTCCCTTCTCCAAGGGATCTTCCCAACGCAGAGTCCAACCTGGGTCTCCCTCATTGCAGGCCGATTCTTTACTGTCTGAACCATCAGGGAAGCCCTTCCCAGATGACAAAGCAGGTAAAGAATCTACTTGCAGTTGAGGAGACACAGGAGATGCAGGTTCAATCCCTGGGTTGGGAAGAGCCCCTGGAGAAAGAAATGGCAACCCACTCCAGTATTCTTGCCTGGAAAATCCCATGAACAGAGGAGCCTGGCGGGCTACAGTCATGGGGTTGCAAAGAGTTGGACAGGACTGAGTGACTAAGCATACAACCACCACCAGCACGTGGGACCCTAGTTTGCTGATGAGGGACTGAACCCACCTGCAGCCCTGTGTTGGAAGGTGGAGTTTTAACCAGTGGACGAGGGAAGTCCCTCATCCGAGTGGTTTTGGCTCAGGGTCTCCCACTAGTCACAGTCAGGCTTGACAGGGGCTGCCGGTCAGCAGAAGGCCCGCCTGGGGCCAGGGTGAAGATGGCTCCCTCACAGCCCTCACCACGCGGGCCCCTCTGCAGGCTAATACACTGCCTCCCCGAGGGGGTAGCTAACTCGACCCAGAGCGAGTGATCCCAGAGAGCAAGGACGTTCCAGTGTCTTTTATGACCCCCTCTTCAAGGGGGGGTCACACACCCTTCCTTACTCCCACTTTTTCTTATCCATTAGAAAAATTCTTAGTCCCTCAGTCCAGCCCACACTCAAGGGAATAGCAGTTAAGCACAGCTCCTTGAAGGGAAGAGTATCAGTGGGATTGAGTGCTGAAACCCTCAGTGGAACCTGAAAGAACAGGGCACCTGAAAGTGGAAATCACAGACTCAGAAGGGAAACGCTCCTGCCAGGGCAGGGGGCTGGATTGGGTGGAGGGCAGTCCACTTGGAGCAGGAAGCCCCCGTGATCTTGTCCCCACCCCCGACAGAACCTGCACTATATCTTCATCCCCTCGGACATCCGTGACTATGTGATGCTGAGATCCACCATCCTGGGTGTGCCTGTCCCTGAGGGCACCGATAAAGGAGACAGGTGAGCAGGCAAGCAGGGAAACAGGGCATGGTACTGCTCCCAGGTCCACTGTCGGATGGGAAAGGTGACTGAAGGCGGCCAGAAAGGCCCCAAGAATCCACCAGAGCATTAGAAGAGTAAACTCTTTTTTATCCTACCCTCGGGAAAGACCACGTAACGCTGCTGGTCCCCAGGGACCCGCCTGACCAGGTGGGCTGCAGGTTCAAGGGGCTCCTTTTGGAAGGGGGCCGGCAGGCCTGGCCCCTCAGCTTCAGCTGTGGTCCCCATAACCTGCCCAGCCCCCCAGCTGGCCTATCCGCAGCTGGTCCTGCTGTCCTGCAGAGTGCATTGTGTTTGGACACCAAGAGTGGGGGCCAGGGCCCATGCCACTCCTTGGCAGGCACCCTCCCAAGACTGCCCATGAAATGGGAGAGCAGGCTACGTGGGCCCAGTGTCCTGCGGAGTGGGAACAAAGGGCCCTCTGTTTGTCCTCCCCCACCTTCCTGGGCAGCAGGCCCGTGTCCGGCTCTTTTGAACCATGTCCGGGCCTCATCTGAACCTTCTCCCTGTGGTGCCGAAAACAATTTTCTGTCCCTGAGTCGGGTCCTCACAAATCTGCACCAACCCCTGTAGCCGCAAGGACCGGCCCTCCTGTCGTGCTGGCCCCTGGACGTCTCACCCACCCTCAAAGAGCACCTTCAGAGGCAACCTTAGGGGTTAAGCCCTGGAGGGCCAGGCCGGCTCCGCCAGCCCCGCCCTGGGCCCCGCCCGCACCTGATGACCCAACAATCGCCTGGCAGCCACTCCTGGGAGTGGGCTTTGCGACCCAGACGGGACTGGCTCCTGGGGGTTGGGGGGGCTGGCTCAGAGACATCGGGTGGACATTAAGCCTCCCCAACACCAATGAGCTCCCCCTCCCATTCCCCTAACCCGTCCCCTGCCCAGTCCCCCTCCCAGTCCAGATCCAACCACACTAACCAGCAGCCCTACGCCAACTCTGGCGGCTCCGCTCCTTCCCCGTCCCCCACCCGGGGGTCTTCCCGTCCCCCCTCTCACCCTGCCACCCCAAATGCCTCACAGCCTTCTTCCCGGGCCTCCTCCCTGGCCCCCAGCCCTCATGTCCAGCCTCGGGGGTCTTCCCAAAACGCCACTCCACCTGCCTCCAAATCTCCCTCTCAATCTGGCTTGAAATCCCTCTCCCGAAACTCTTCCCAAACTCCCCCCCTGCCTGGCGCCAAGTCCCCCGCCCACAGCCCCGCGCCCTCAGCCTCCTACATCGGGCTCGGGCCCATCCGGGGCATCCCGTCCCACATCGCCCCCTACGTGCCCCGCTTCATGAAAGAGACCCCCTTCTTCCAGCCTCCTACTTCGCCCCTCCCGCAGAACCAGTGCTTCCCCTGCTCCTTCCCCTGCCGGGTCGGGGACCGCCCGCGCAAGCCCCCCGACTCGCTGTACTTCCCGCTCCTCCCGCCCCCTCCGCACCTGCCCCGGGTCAGCTGCTCCTACCCGTCTCCCCCCGCCCTGTTCACGCCCCCCTCCTCCCTCTCCTATACCCCGCCCACCGAGGTCCTGGTGGGCGGGAAGCCGCACGTGGTCCCCACGGTGCTGCCCGCCACCTTCTACACCCCCTTCTCCCGCTACTACTCCCAGCCCCGCCCCTACCGGCCCGCCCGCCGCCACCGCCCCGGCTCCTTTCACCTCTCCTCGCTGCACAACCCGGCCTACGACGGCTCGGGCCGCTCTGTTCACTTCTACCGTGGGTCCTAGGCCCCAGACCTACTTTGGACCGGACTCCTCCGTCAGCAAATTCAAGCTACTCCATCCAGACTTCATCAGCTACCTGACAGAGAGGTAGGTGCGGGCAGGGGTGGTGCTGGGAGCAACTTCCCCCTCCCCCGACCCCCACCATTCAGCCCACACCTACCCGGTTGCACTGGCTTTTTCCATGGAAGATGAAACCCAAAGCTGGGCCATGTGCTGAGGACCACCCTGGCCGCCCCCCGCCCCCCACAGCACTTATACTGCTTCATTTACTTTAGTCCCTCAGGGAGGGACAGTCCCTCCCTGTCCCATTCTTTGTGACCCCATGGATGGTAGCCCACCAGGCTTCTCTGTCCATAGCATCTCCCAGAAAGAATACTGGAGTTGGTTACCATTTCCTTCTCCAGGGGATCTTCTGGACCCAGATTGAACCCAAATCTTCCGTTATTGGCAGGTGGATTCTTTACCACTGAGCCACCAGGTTAAATACATTGATGGAGGTGATGTTCTATCAGTCAAGGTAGACAGGAAATAGGAAACTCAACAGGCTTACTTACCAAAAATATTCACCAAAGCTTAGGCCAGGCATAAAGGGACCATAAGTGTGGGACTGTATGGGGACTAGTGGAAGCCAGTGTTCAGGCCCACACAGGATGACCCTGGGAGGAGCCTGGGGAACCCCTGCCTGCAGATCTCCACCCCCACCCCACCCTCCAACCATCAGTGGCTCTCAGCAGGAGGCTGGTCCACTGTCCTGTCTGGAGAGTTTTGGTTGTCACTAGGCAACCTGAGTGCCCCTAGTGGGCAGAGGCTAGGGATGCTGCTGAACCACCTACAACACACAGGGCAGCCCCTGCAATGCACAACTGTCCGGCTGGAAGTGGTGACAGTGCTGCAGCTGGGAAACCTACTGCATGCAGCCCCAGGCTAGCACCTCAAGACCCAGAGCAGGCCAGGGGTGGTAGCAGGGTCTGGGAGGCAAACTGAAGACCACTCAACAGAGGAAGAACGGGCTGAGAGGCTAGGCGATTTGCCTGGCAAGGCCTAGATGAGAACCCAGGGCTGAGGTCAAGGCTCATGGTCACCATACTGTGGCCTCACTTTTGGACCATCTGGGTGTCTGAAAGCATGTACGTGTGCATGCACACGTGTGCACCATCTCACTAGCGGCCCAATCACAGGACCTACATGTACTCTGTCTCCATGTGTGGCTCCTGCCTGGCCAGTCTGGAGGTAGAAATTTAGGTGTCAGGTTAAATAACTATACCAACTATGCCCCAGACATTGTGGTGCGGGAGGGTGTTGCAGAGAGGAAAAGCAAGCTAGGCTGGATTCAGGCTTCTAGAGAGTGGGAGAAAGGGAAGAGTCTCACCTGTGGTTCTTCGGCAGGGCCTGTTCCTCCTCACTGCTTCTATTACCTAAGGTGTTATTTCAACCAAAGATTTTTGTGTATAATTCATCTTTCTCCAAATGACAGATGGGTGAGGGTAGAAGGGCCAGAAATTTTTGCCGTTTTCCAACCTGCCTGAGTAGGTGTAATGGCACAACCCTCAAGCTAATGTGCAAGACCAGAAGTCTTCGTTGTTTTTATTTTGGGCTGCACTGGGTTTTCTTTACTGCATGGCTTTCTCTAGTTGTGGTGAACAAGGTCTCTTCACTGTGGGGTGCAGGCTTCTCATTTCGGTGGCCTCTCCAGAGTGCGGGCTCTAGGCACACAGGCTTAGCTGCTCCTCAGCATGTGGAATCTTCCTGGACCAGGGATTGAACCCATGTCCCCTGCACTGGCAGGCGGATTCTTAATCACTGGACCACCAAGGAAGTCCTCCGAAGTCTTTGAGTTTTGATGCTTCTTTTTGCTTCCAGGTTTTTGAAATCGAAGTTGATTAACACAAAATTTGGAGACCTATATATGCCTAGTACTGGGGCCCTCATGTTGCTGACAGCTCTGCATACCTGTGACCAGGTAAGAGGTCTGCTCTTTCAGGAGCCCACAGCAGCAGAGCTGGTGTGAATGGAACCTTATTCCATCCATGAGATCCTCTGCGTGAGGCCTGCTAGCTCAGACCTGGGACTCTGGGCCTCCATCCCGTGACGGAAGGCATCTAGGCTAGGGAATGGGGTGGAGGAAGTGCTCTTGGTCCCTTAGGGGACAGCCTTGGTCCCAGTCTTGCCTTCTTCCCCAGGGCCACCTTTCCCCGGGCTTGTCCTTTCACCCTCTGCCCCAGGGCAGCCACTGCACATGGTGTTTAAGGGACATACGACCCAAGTGCTCTTGTGAAAGCAAAATCTCAACCGAAGTGGGTAGGGTCATGTGTTTTGGGAGGACACTCTCAAACTGAGGTGGGCAACCTTCCACATGTGGAGTCTCTGAAATCACTCCATGAGCCAATTCTTGCTGGGGTGGTACCCACATGAGCTGCAGAGAAAGAGGCTGAGAAGCAGTTTTCAGGGAAAGGTGGTGGTGACCCAGGCACAAAAGCCGGAGGCCAAGCACCACTGGACTCTGGTCCCCTTTTCCATGTTTCAAACAGGACTCTCCTGCCTGCAGTCACTGTTAGAACAGGAAACGGGAGGTAAGGGGCTTTCTGCCTCCACCTTGAGCATAATGATCACAGCTTTGGTGTCACAGACCGGAGTTCAAAACCCAGCCTAGCTACTTACTAGCTTGTGACTGGGGACACATGTTTTGGTTATCTTTCTGAGCCCATTTTCCCATTTGTAAAATGGGGACAGTATCTACAATTATTTAGTTGGATGAGAAAATGTGCAGAAAGAGCACAGTGCAGGTATGAAAATGTGGGTGAGAATGGTTGTTTATCCTCATCTTCACACAATAAGTTCCTGTCACTTTATACACTATGCTTAGTCGCTCAGTCGTGTCCGACTCTTTGCAACCCCATGGACTGTAGCTCACCAGGAACCTGTCCATGGGGATTCTCCAGGAAATACTGGAGTGGGTTGCCATGCCCTCCTCCAGGGGCTGCACTGCAGGCACATTCTTTACCATCTGAGTCCAGGGAAGCCCTTCACACACAGCCGCTCAAATGCTAACTCAAATGCTAACTGTCCTTGTCCAGGTTAGTGCCTATGGCTTCATCACAAGCAACTACCAGAAATTTTCTGACCACTATTTCGATCGAATGAAGAAGCCACTGATATTCTACGCAAACCACGACCTGTCCCTGGAAGCCACCCTTTGGAGGGACCTGCACAAGGCTGGCATCCTTTGGTTGTACCAGCGGTGACCCAAAGGCATCCAAGACTTATTTTTGCAGAGCTGTGGCCCTGGGACCCTCAAGTAACTAAAGCTACCTTCTTGTGTCTTCTATCATTGATACCCACCTAACCCCTTCCCTACAGAGGACAGAGTGGATGTGTCAATGTCACTGAAGACTGCTCTTTGTGGGACACCCTGCCTTGTCCTTAGCTCATCCAAGGAGACTCCTCTGGGCCCAGGTAGACAACCCAACCTTGGTCAAAGAAAAAGACTGCTCTGCTGGGCTCATCTTTAAAACTTAAGAGAAAGAACACTCTCAAGATGAGACTGACCAGCGTTGAGCATGCAGGCATCCTTCAGAGCTGAACATTTCCAAGCCAGCAGTGGACCGACGAGGTCAGTGGAGTGGCTCAGGGCCTCTCAAGCAGCAGTAGAAACAAAGCACTTTTCAGCCCAAATCCTCCCACTAGCATGTCCAGCCTCAGACTCCAAAGCAGTTCACCTCAAGGACATGTTGGAACAGCTTTTCTGAGAAAGGGAACTGTCTGACTTCTGCCCCCTGATAAAGTGGGAGCACAAAAGGCAGAAAGTCATTTGAAGTTAGTTAACTGCATAAATGATGGATAACCATTGTGTCTGTGTTTGTTGGGGATAGTAGGATATCACGCATGGTGTTTAGCATGGAGTCTGAACCACCACAAAAGTTCTGGCCTCTGATTAAAGGCCCAGTGAAGATGTATTACCACCCCATCACCAAAAGGACATTACTCGGTAACAAACCCTCATCACCGGACATTGACTATCAAGGCTTCAGTCATCTGACTGGATACAGGCAGCTTTTAGATTATGCAGGCTTCAAAGTGTAAATCAACTGAATGACCACTACGCAGCTCCACACACAAACCCTGGGTTTGACTCGTGTGGTGTTGCCACACCCTGTAAGGCAGGGGAGCGGGTTGGGGAGGTCTCCCCAGGGCTGGCTGGCAAGACCCTCCCACCCAGAACCTGGCCTCTGGGCCCTGGTTCTGAAGGGTCATTCCTCTCCGTACAACACTGCTGCTTTAGAAACTCAAGATGGGTGATTAAGAGACAGGACATTTAGGATTTAACTACTACAGCAGCTACTTGAGAAAGCATGGCTTCCTGATGCCTGGGCCCCTTTCCCCGCATAGTTTATTTTTTCCCTATTGCCATCACATCTGTAGTTGAGCAAAACCAGTCAATTGTATAAGACTGATTTAGTGAGAAACTTTAAATTTCATTTATAAAAGAATGTGCTGATTCACAGAAGAAATCATTGCTCTTACAACGGGTCTCAATCTGGAATCCACAAATGCTAGTAAGTCAACTTTTAAAATGTTTTAATTTGCTTTAAAGTTAAACCCAAGACACACTGTAGAAATCCACTGAGAAATGTTTTTTTAGGCTGAACACCTGTTTCCCCTTAGTCTTCAACAGAGCATGTACATGTAAGTTTCATTTTACAATCACGGCAGTCCCCCCACTGCACCAAGATCACCTAAACTCTGTGTGTGGTACTGCAAATGTTCTTAGTTATACCTTAATTTCCAAGAGGCAATCCTGAAGGAACTCATTCTAAACAGTCCATCATTTTGCCTGTGTTTGTGTGTGTGGAAGGCACAACCAGATTGATACAGTGCAGGCTGCTGTTGCTAGTGCAGGCTAACGGGTCCCAAATGCCTCTTTCCAGGAGACGGTGATCTGAGAGAACAGAATCTGGCAAGGGTCCAGTAAAGAGCACCCACCAAGTGCTGGGAGCATTTATATTCAGACGCCCTCTGAAGTCAAACATACAGGTTCGGGGAATCCCCTGGTGATCCAATGGTTAGGACTCGGCACTCTCACTGCCAAGGGCCGGGGTTCACGTGCGGCAGAGCTTAAAAAACAGAACACAAAAAACCCCTCCAGGTTCACTTGGGTCCCGCAGGACAGTCAAGTCCACTCAGAAGCAGACTGTAACCCAGCAGGTAGACCTTCCCACTTGTTAACACGTCCTTTCACTATGTTTTGCTTTAGGCTGTAGGCTGCTTGGACCAGTTTTCTAGTTCTTTAAGTCCCACCCCAAATATAGTTTCCTTGGTGACTGAACAAATATGTGACCTTACATATGAAGAGCTGCACATACCTCCCAACTTCAGCAGAAAAGAAAGGCAATCTGTGCCCACTTCAAGCGTGGCATTTCAATGGGAACAAAGCCCAGTGCCACTCTGCTACTCTCTTGCTCACAAGCCAGCCATGCCATTCAGACAAGAGCTGGGCTAACCCCAGGAGAGTGCCCTGCGTGAACAAGGCACCTGGAAACCATGCTAGTGCCATGGTACCCCTTCTTTCCTGACATTCAGGATATAGTACAAAGGCGAGAGAGAGAGATCAGATTGTCCTGAAGTGTGCTCACTGCCACAGCCGGCATACATCTTCCATTGCCGTCTGTCTCAAAGAGCGCATTCGTTTTCTTGAACTATGTGACAAGCACTCTTTCATTCCACAATAAGAGCATAAGCCAAATCTGGGCCACTTGCCCACTTCTGCCACCTCTTATGGCCTGTGCCCTCAGAGCCAAAGGGTGACAGGGCAGCTCACCACTGGTTTTCAAGTGGCCGAGGGATGGCGCACCAGGACTGGGGTCTGGGCAGGGTATGTGAGCACAACTCCCTTTGGAGTGCGTTCCGTCTGATCCCTTGTAAAGCCTGAATTGCTTGTAAGAGCCCAGGGCCAGCCCCTTAAGCCTCAGAACAGATTGTTTTCCCTCAATCGAGATGTTCAGACAGGGATAACTAAACATCACAGGCTTGTGGGGATTCTTTCGGACACGTACGATAGAAACAGAAAGCTTGTGCTCGCTTCGGCAGCACATATACTAAAATTGAAACAGAAAGCTTACATTACAAACAACGGGAGACGAACGGTTTCACTTGCTTTAGGTAAAGCAGGTCAGTTCTGTTTCACACGCTGCAGACACCTAGCAAAGAAAACAGACCTATGTCAAAGTCTCCCTGCCACTCAGCACAACCCAAGGGCCAGGGGAAACAAAAAGAACATCCACCCAGGCCTGTTTTCCCTATTACACACATGAGAGAAATTCCACATCAGGTCCAGGGCAGTCACCACAGCACTGCAGCCAGTGTATTTTTCTGGAGTATCCTTTTCGGCCTCCAACTGAAGCTGCACCTGGTGAGGGGAAATTGCAAAGGAAAACCTATTCAAGAAGGTCCACATAAGTATCTCTCAGACAGCTCACTGTTAATTCAGGCATTAAACAAACCAAATAAACCAGGCCTCAATCTTCTCTAAAGCAAACTTGGGAAACTGAGTCTCAGATATCCAGAGTCCACACTCAAAGGCCTTTTTTTGGCCTTCAGACAGGGATAACTTCACATCATCATAGACTCAGCTCCCCACCCAGCTGCCAATCCACAGCACAAGCAAACTATGTTTTCCTTACCAAATTCAGCTTTACTTCCTCTCCCGGGAACTCATTCAATCTTATGTACTTTATTAGAATGTGCTTTCCCTCAAGGGCAAAAACTTTATATCTAGTGCCTAGCTGTACCCAGCATCCCAGACCTGACACGGTGACAGTTCCTGTCCTTTTAAAGCCAAGGTCTCCCTGAGCACAAAGTGTCTAGTAGCCAAGTATATATTTCAGCATCTTTGGGCTGTCAGTAAAAATGCCTAAAACAGTGTGGATTATTCCTTTCGGTCAGACCACTGAAGGCCGGCTGAACAAAGGGTGCCTGATGCCAAGAAGAATCAACACCAAACAAGGTCACTGCTCCTTTGCTCACCTCTGTGTGCAAAATGATACTGCAGAGCAACCATGTGGCTTGCAGTTCTTTAAGACAGGGATTATAGATCTGCCCTGAGAGCTACTTAAAAATAGCCAGTACTATAACCTTGCTGTAATAAAAATCCCTGAGCTAAAAGTAGATCAGATCATCTCACTGTTCCTCCACATCGGCTCTTAAATGGCCACTCGTGATTCTTGGGCCACACTCTAGAGCCCTCTCACCCATCTTAGCATGGCTGGAGGTGGGGTCCAGGAACATTTTATAGGGCAGAGCCAGGTCTGAAAAGCATCACTCCTGTCTTTTAGAAATGAAGAAACAAGGTTCTGGTGTGGTTACCTGGTAACCACAGTTAGTGGTTAGTCTAACACTGGGTTTAGTGTTTAGTTTCAGTCTAACACTGGGTTTCAACTTCAACTCTACATTTTGGGTGGGGAGTTCTTTGTCAGGGTGGTGGGGGACCTGTCACGTGCACTATAGGGTAATTAGGGGCATCGCCTGGATCCCAGCAACACCCTCTACCCCTAGTTGAGAACCACTAGCCTAACTCAGTAACGTTTGTTCAACTATATCTCAATAAAGCTTAATAATGTCCCCCTTCCAAAATCACTTATAGCTATATTTTTATGGTTCTTAAAAAAAAAAACAAAACCTAGTTGTGTAACTTTGGGCAAATGAACTCACTAATTCAGTTTCCTTACTCAGGAGCAACATAGGGAAAACATCTACCTCATACAGCGTTGTAACAACCACTGTGAGGGTGCTTGGCAAGGGGTCTAGGAAAGAGTTCAAACTATTTCTCTTCTCTGGGCACTAAAAGCAAAAACTATTCAAGGTCTACACAAGTGTCTCTCAGATAGCTGTTAATGTGTGGTAAGACCCACACAACTCTGAAATGTAACAAGCCAACACTTAAAGGAACCATAATCTATGCAATTCTGTGAAAGTTAAAACTCTTACCATTTATAGAAATCTCATCACACGGATCCTTACATCTCTGGATGATGGTTTTCATGTGACTTTTTTTCAAAGCCCACAGTCTACATCTTTAATTTAAAAGAGAAATATGGATAACACATTAACAGGAACAAACTTAAGATATTCATTCCCAAAAAGTTATTTAAAACGTTGAGCCTCAGCAAGTTAGAATTCCTCACAACAGAAATCTTTTCAGACAGGGATAACTTTAAATCATCCTCAGCTCAACCAGTAACCAACATTTCTAAATCTCAATCAACTCTACAGCTCAAGTTCCAAGTCTCCCTCTTACCCGTGAATGCAGTGGCATCCACTTTGGTTTCCAACAGCGACACCTAGCGGCCCCAATTACACTGGTACAGGGAACATCCTCATTTCTGGATTCTGGGTAGGACCCGCAACTGGTCCAGAGTCAATCAGGATTCAGAGCTGCGGTGTGTGGCAGGCCTTAACACCATCTCAGCTTTCTCATTTCTGTTGCCCACCCAGGATCCTGCCTACATGCATTCTTACCTATTTCAGATTTCCATTCGTTACTTCTAAGCTTCAACCTGCAGGTCTGCTCCTCACCGTCTCTGCAGATGCCGAAGAAAGGCCTGTGGGGAATAAAAACATAAGCATGTTAAGGGTCGCTATAAAACTACAGCCTTCCAAACAAAGTCCACCACGCCACTGATTATTAGCTGTAGAATTAAATGAAAATTGATTGGGGCCGTCCTCAAGGCACTCCAGCAGGAAACCAAATAATTCAGACGTTAATACCCTGGATGGTAATTGCGAGCTTGCCCCGTGGGAGGACCTGGAGACCAGCAGGGCCGCTGGGCCTGCAAACTCAGCGCTTGTGTGGCCGTAAGGCCTGGGGGCTGCGCAGGATGGAAGAGCTGCTCTCCCCGAGGAGGGACGCTCCCGGTGCAAAGGTGGGCCTGGGCTCTCTCCCCTCAGAAACAAAAACTCGCGCCCTTTGGAAAGCGTTTTCTCCCCGAGTATCTCACGTTAATTCTCCCAACCACCTAGCGGGGTGGGGGTTGGGGGAACCAAGCCTAGCGTCACTATTTCGCCTTCAAGCAGCGGGAGACCAAATATGCTAACGCCGTATCAAGGAATAAGCTGTTTACCCGCCTCCGCAGCCTTCCCTAGGCCAAAGGCCCGAGGTCGCCGGCCTTGCTGGAACCACAGCGAGGAAGCCATGACTTCCAGCTATGCAGCCCGCGTTGGAAGAGAAGGTGGGCCTCCGCCTGCGCGCAAGTCCTCACGGAAGTCTCGCCCGAACTCTCGCGCTATTGAGAAAGGGCTGCTGGGAAATGTAGTGTGAGCAACGGCCGCTGAGGGGCGCCCGCGGCTCTGGAACCCGGGTAAGATGGTGGCCGCCGCTGGGGACAGTAGAGATCCCAGGGCGGGAGGCTTGCTCTGTATAGAAACCCCGGCGGTTAGAAAACGAAGACCGTCCCTGGGCGGAACTGGCTGGGTGGTGGAGGCCGCAAAAAGTTCGAGGGGGCTTCGAGAGGAACGACTGAGGGAACTGGGAACTACAAAGGCCGGACTTTGTAGTTAATTGCTCGGCGGATTTTATTAGAGTCATGGAGGGGTGGTTGCGTTAGTGAAGGAAAAGGAGATTCCCGGGGAATTCGTTGTTCGACGTCCCGCTCCGTTGCTCTTAGTTGGGGCGCGGGCGGCAGAGGGTGCCCGAGAGCGACGGGTCGGGCCGGGTCGGGCTGGGCTCTAAATTCCCCTGAACCCCCGGGGCGCCACGCAAAAATAATTATACTTTACGAAAAGATCAGTAGTGTAACACTGTCTGCTACTCCTGAGGACTATTTTTTAGGCAGTCACCCCTGCTTTAGGGGGTTTTCGGGGTTTTTTCCCATTTATTTTTGTTAGTTGGAGGCTAATTACAACATTGTAGTGGTTTTTGTCATACATTGACATGAATCAGCCATCCTGCTTTAGTTTTGAAATTGTAAAAGGGCAAAAAAACAACTAGAGTCAGAGCCAGAATTTATACCTATTTGGAAATTAAATGTGCGGACTTCCTTGCCAATCCAGTGGTTGACTCTGGGCTTCCAGTGCAGGAAACACTGGTTCGATCCTTGGTCGGGGAACTAAGATCTCACGTGCTGCATGTCCTGCGACCAATAGTAGTAATAATAATAGTAGTTGCAAGACCACGAAGCCTTTTCTGCATCACCCTTTCCCCATTGTCATCAGCCCTTTAGCAATGATCTCAGTAGCATTTAAGTCTGGATTAAATTGTTCTGTGTGTAGTAATAAGTTTCGGGGACTTATTTTCAAGTTACCACATTTGTTAATGTTTGCCTTCCTTAATTTGATTGTAAGCTCTTCACGGCAGAAGTCTAATTTGTTTTTTCCTTTTAAATTCTTCACAGACCTAGTTGGTATTCCATTGCCTCTGCTCACAGTAAGTAGTCCACAAATACAATCATTAACTCAGCAATAGCTCCAATTGTGTGAAATTGGCCCCTAAGTTTCTCTGTTTTACCCTTGAAGACAATTTATTTTGTACAATACCAAAAGAAAGAATGAGGTCTCTCCCTGCAGACTAAATTTATTTCAGGCTCTAAGTGTGGAATTTGCCAAAAGCTGCTTGTGTGTAGGCAGGTGATCTGCTGGCAAAACAATAATGATAGCTAACGCTTTGTAGCACTTACTGTGAGACATTCATTGCTTGAATACTTTATGGATATTAATTCGTTTCATCCTCACCATTGCACAGTGAAGTGCGTTATCTCTACTCCTGTTTTTATAGATGGGGAAAGAGGAATATTGAAATGTTACATAACTTGCCCCAGTTCACACACTAGTAACTGGTGGAATCAGGGTTTGATCCTAGCCTTAGAGTCTGTACTTTTATGATGAAGTTATACTGCACTGTGAGTATATACATATAAATTGATCTTATATAGAAGGATTTTGGGTTGTGGGGAAGGGGAAGGAAAACAGATTTTGTGTGTTTGCATGGGTGGTTAGGGATGAAACTGGGAAGTGGGGTGTGGATGATGGGCACCTGTTCCACTGTTTCCAGCCATTTTCTGGCAGGAAGAATGAGGATGAGAGGCTGCAGGAGCTGATCTGTTGAAAGACTGAGGGCTCTGGGCTCTGGCGGGGCTGTCTTGAAAAGTGGAAGTGTTAGTCGCTCGGTTGTGTTGACTCTGCAACGCTGTGGACTGTAGCCTGCCAGGTTCCTCTGTCCATGGGATTTCCCAGGCAAGAATACTGGAGTGGGTTGCCATTACCTTCTCCAGGGGATCTTCCCAACCCAGGGATTGAATCCAGGTCTCCTACATTGCAGGCAGGGGGCTGTCTTGGGTCCCAGACTAGTTGCCACCCAATGTGCAGTCAGGGCTGTCTGTCCCAGCTCGAGAAGGGCGCCTGTGCCAGAGGACACAGCGGAGCTTTCACACCTGACAGGGCCTTGGTAGAACAGCAGCAGGCTCACAGTGGATAGGGGTGTCACGGGCTGCTGGGCTGTGGCCGAGTGACTGAGCACATTGCAGTGAGGCCTTGTGCCGGAGTACGTGTCAGGTGCACTGCACAGGCCTTCCAGAAGTAACTGGGAAACACTTACAAAATGTGCTAGCGTTCCTGAATGAGGGGGCAAGGGCTCAGAGCTCTTGAGAGGGAAATGCTAATGATGTGACTTCATTTGCTGGTGAGGTCTAGGACATTTGAATTTTACATTATTCAAGGCCAATGTAGACCTGTATTTGTTACATGGAGAGAGTCACACAGTCTAGAGATAAGTGACAGAAGTAGATCAGAAGCTTTACAGGGCAGGAGTCCCCAGGGCTGTGCATGGACCTTGGCTCTGATTGCAGAGGGGAAATCTAGTCAGCTGACCTGCTACGCTCAGGCAGTCAGCTCACAAAGTTCCATTCACTGATAGGATTTCACTTCAGGTCAGTCGCTCAGCCGTGTCTGACTCTGTGATCCCATGGACTGCAGCACGCCAGGCTTCCCTGTCCATCACCAATTCCCAGAGTTTACTCAAACTCATGTCCGTCAAGTTGGTGATGCCATCCAGCCATCTCATCCTCTGTCGTCCCCTTCTCCTCCCACCTTCAATCTTTCCCAGAATCAGGGTCTTTTCACATGAGTCAATTCTTCACATAAGGTGGCCAAAGCATTGGAGTTTCAGTTTCAGCATCAGTCCTTCCAGTGAATAGTCAGGACTGATCTCCTTTAGGATGGACTGGTTGAATCTCCTTGCAGTCCAAGGGACTCTCAAGAGTCTTGCCCAGCACCACAGTTTGAAAGCATCAACTCTTCAATGCTCAGCTTTCTTTATATTCCAACTCTCAACATCCATACATGACTACTGGAAAAACCATAGCTTTGAGTAGATGGACCTTTGTTGGCAAAGTAACATCTCTGCTTTTTAATATGCTGTCTAGGTTGGTCATAACTTTTCTTCCAAGGAGAAGGGTCTCTTAATTTCATGGCTGCAGTCACCACCTGCAGTGATCTTGGAGCCCCCAAAAATAAGGTCTGTCACTATTTCCATTGTTTCCCCAAATATTTGCCATGAAGTGATTGGAGCAGATGCCATGATCTTAGTTTTCTGAATGTTGACTTTTAAGTCAACTTTTTCACCCTCTTCTTTCACTCTCATCAAGAGGCTCTTTAGTTTTTCTTCACTTTCTGCCATAAGGGTGGTGTCATCTGCATATCTGAGATTATTGATATTTCTCCCAGCAATGTTGATTCCAGCTTGTGCTTCATCCAGCCCAGGGTTTCTCGTGATGTACTCTGCATATAACTTAAATAAGCAGGGTGACAATATACAGCCTTGATGTACTCCTCTCCTAATTTGGAGCCAGTCTGTTGTTCCATGTCCAGTTCTAAGTGTTGCTTCTTGACTTGCATACAGATTTCTCAGGAGACAGGTCAGGTGGTCTGGTGTTCCCATCTCTTTCAGAATTTTCCACAGTTCGTTGTGATCCACACAGTCAAAGGCTTTGGCATAGTCAATAAAGCAGAAGTAGATGTTTTTCTGGAACTCTCTTGCTTTTTTGATTATCTAGCAGATGTTGGCAATTTGATCTCTGGTTCCTCTGCCTTTTCTAAAACCAGCTTTAACATTTGGAAGTTCACGGTTCACATACTGTTGAAGCCTGGCTTGGAGAATTTTGAGCTAGCATGTGAGATGAGTGCAATTGTGCAGTAGTTTGAGCATTCTTTGGCATTGCCTTTCTTTGGGATTGGAGTGAAAACTGACCTTTTCCAGTCCTGTGGCCACTGCTGAGTTTTCCAAATTTAAGACTTGGTATTATTCGAAAACTGTGTCTTCCCAGGTGGCTCAGTGGTAAAGAATCCACCTGCCAATCTGCCTTCAGGAGACCCTGGAGACATGGATTCAATCCCTGGGTGGGGAAGAGTCCCCTGAAGAAGGAAATAGCAACCTGCCCCAGTATTCTTGCCTGGGAATTCCCATGGACAGAGGAGCCTGGTGGGCTACAGTCCATGGGGTCGCAAAGAGTGGGACATGACTGAGCAACTGAGCACACACATTTGAAACCCACATTAATAGAAAAGAGTCTTTAAATATTGAGGTTAATGTCTTAACTGGGAAGTTCTGTTTAATTTTATGAGTAAGAACATGGAGGAGGAGCAGTATTTCCCAAGCAGTTGGCTGCTTACACCGGGAGCAGTTGCACCAGTGATATTCCCGGAAGTTCACCTGTGTGGCAGGCACCCTTAACCCCACCTCTGCCCTTCCTCCATGTCACGAACACCACAGAGCTGCTGGGAGGCAAGCCCTGGCCCTGCCCTGAGGAGTGAGTCTTGAATAGTCTGAACCAGGCCCATGAGAAATCTCTTCCCTTCACCAGGAATTGGTTTAAAAAATGGTCTGCAGTGCAGTTCTGCCACACTTGGGAAAGTTTTCTAGTTTTGAAAAACATTAGCCTCCCTTCTGGTTTTGAGACCCCGTGAAGTGATGCCTGAGACCATGAGAGCCACCTTGTGTCCAGAAGGGCTGCTTCCTAGGAAGAGCAGAAGGTTGGCAGTGATGGACAGAACAACCTTGAGTCCTTGAAGATGCTTTTGAGCTGCTGGAGAAACCAGTCCCAATGTCCCCAGCCTTCAGACCTTTAGTTTGATTCAGACACACACATTTTTACATGTCAATATTTCTGAATATGGGAGGCATCCTGTGAGCACTGGCATCTTAGTTTGAGTGAAATACAGAGTGGGAGATTTTAAAAAATAAACCTCCTTATTGTTTAAGCCATCTTAAGCTAGGTGTTTCATTAGAATGATACGACTGTAAATGATAGGATTGACATATCCCAAATCATTCTCTCTTTTTTGTTGATGATTATTCTCAGGAAGAATGGGTCATGGCAAAATAAAGATGAACTGACACGATCAAATTGCCACCCTGAAAAAAATAACAGCTGGTGTATAGTGTTGACTCCATGCTAGGCACTGTTTTAAGTGCCTTTTTAAAAAAAACCACTTTACATACTGGACCTCTATAGTGGTCCACTGGTTAAGGATCTGCCTGCCAATGTAGTAGACACAGGTTTGATCCCATGTCTAGGAAGTCTCCACATGCCGCAGGTCAACTGAGCCACAACAAAGAGTAGCCCCCTGCTCACAGCAACTAGAAACAGCCCGTATCCACCAATGAAGACCCAGCACAACCAAAGATAAATAAATAGAAGAGTATACATAGTTTTAAAAACCTCTTTAACTGAGATCTGACGGACATACAAAAAACTGCCCAAATTTAATGTATAAAACTTGCTGACCCTAAGCACCTTCAGTTTGCTGTCTCATTTGACTCTCACAACAGCCCTGTCGTTATCCTCCCGTGTTTCAACTCAGGAGCAGAAAAATGAGTCATTAGTGTGTGAAGGCGCTGAGAACTCCTTGAGCCTCAAACCTGTGGTCTTGACCACTGTGCTGGGTTTCCTGGGAAGATAGACCATAACAGTGGATCATGTTTTGCTAACTCCAGTGATTTCAATTCATCCGGCTAGAAAGCACATCCTCAGAGCATAGAGGATATTTTCCACTTCAGTTTCTCAGGACTGTGAAAGAAGGTCACAAATCCTGTTCATCAGAAATCTGGGACCATTGCACAGAGCTTTTAACTTTCTGGAGGAGAAGAAACAGGACAACGTGTACCCTGTTTATTGAGAATGGATGACCTTGGGTTGCAGTGGATTCCTTCCTGTGGTGACCAATAACACACTTCATTTGCCTGCTCTGAAGATCTGTTGCCTCTCATAAAATTATTGCTTAATAGGCTTTTTAAAAATAAGTGAATTTGAAGGGTACATAATATGCCATTGACCTTTCCTCCTGTTTTCTGGACATGACTCCCCTTCCCAGAAGCCCCCTTCTCATAACTGCTGCAGCACCTGCTCTCATGCTGTTTGTTTGCCTGGACAT